CTGACATTATTTTTAACTGAAAAAACGATGACTAAATGCGATTTCAGATGGACTTGAAGACAAACTGGGTTACTTTAAGAGCTGAAATGCTTTCACCTAGGGCCGTGTGATATGATGATCATATTACGCTCTATAATTAATTTTGTTGTGTCGCAAATCACACTCTTTATGGCAATACTTTTCACCACTGGGATGGCGCTTTATGTTCTCCCACACGCCACGGATGCAGGCGGGAAATATGCATGAAGGTAACACAAACATGAGGGGGAGTGAACGCGACACAGAACGGCCAAGACAAAACGAGGAGCATGAACGTGGTCTGACATGCACCAGAAAAAACATATTTTGCTATTTGTGCAGCAGACCTGTCCCGACAACAGACTCAAGTACCAATTACCTCTTTTACCACCTACACAAGAATCATGTCAAACAGTACGGAGAGAGTCTGCGGATGAGAGCCGCAAAAGTGTGGTCAAGTGCTAAAAAACAGACCCCACTCACAGGTTACAAGAGGCTTTACCTGTGGCTCACCATGCGGCAAAGAATCATGAGGATGGAAGGAGATGACGGCTGCTGTTGCAACTTACATCTGCAAAGACATGGCCGAAAAATTACACGGTTGAGAAATGGGGGTTTCCTGGGGTTGATGCTGACACTCGACACAAGGTAAACAATGCAAAGGCGAAAGCGCTTCACTCATGTCAAGTTCCTTCATTGATATCACGAGTGTCGAGCCAAATTACAGGCGGAATTCCGCATTTATTTATTTTACATTTATCTAAATGTGCTATATAATGATACGTAGTGTTACCGGCATTTGAAATGGCCAAAACTGAGATATGAGATTTTGGTGTTATGGCACAGCTCTACCCTTCAGCTAATTGATCCAGATGGTGACAAACTGTTGGTATTCACAGTTTTTGTCCACTTGCAGAGAGCTCATTGCATGGACATTGGCAGCATTCATGAAGGTTTGTAATCTCCAAAAAAGAATCTGCCTCTTCTGCTGCAATAAGGTCATTGCAGAGGAGCTGAAGCAATGATTCAGACATCACACTCACACATCACCTCTTTAGCTTGATTTTCTAACAACGATTGCCCGAGGTGAGGAGGAGGATGCTGGAGAATAAGAAAGGCTCTTTTTGCATGTAGTGACAATCATTTAGGCGGCAGAGACGCATTTAAACACAAATCTCTGCAAAATGATGTTTGCCATAGAGCATGACAACCTACAAGGAACGGAGAAGATGCTGTTGTCCAATCAGACATGATGAGTTGAATTGACTGGGTTGTTAAGGAAGGCAACAGCTCTTTTCTTTGAAGACTGGTCATTATGTCAACAACTAAACTGCACTTAAGACTGAGTGCAGGCTACACAGAGATGAAGATCTATACCCCACAATGGACAACACTTAAGTAGGTGGTGATGGCAGCAAATAAGAAGTGTTTATGGCTCCTACTTAATGTAATTCTGGGATACTTGGGAATTGGAGTAACGCTGCTGCTCCTGTTTGAAACACGCCACTGCTTTTCCTGCACAGCCAGAACATGAACCCAAGAAACTGGAAGTCTCAAAAACACATGAAATGACTTAATGACAATTCCATCAGCTGTACTGGTCATGCTCTTGTCTACATCGTACAACTGGTTGTTGCTTTTTCCCCACATCCAGGAAAATGGCCTGAAGGTGAAGCTGACCCTTGCTGAGGAAAGCTTCCCGTTTTGTCCCCGAGAGTTCTTTTAAAAGCGTCCTCATGTATCATTAAAAAGTTCAAGGTATTCGTTGACTTTGCAGGACTCTCAGCGGGAAGTTTGTGAATAATTTCTCACTCAGTGCAGTCCTTATGCATCCATCCCCTCACTGTTCAGAGTCCTCTGGGTGCAGGAGATCAAGGTAACTTTTGCTTACATTACCAAACTTGTACTACACTTGTTGTTTAGGCTGTTTATAAAGCCTGGTAGCGGCAGATACTCACAGTACCTGTGCTTGCCTTCGGCAACTTCTCCAAGTCAGTCTAAGTTCAAACTGATGCCAGTCATCAGAGGCTTCAGGCCGTCTTCAAAGGGGGAGGTAAAGCTGTGATCCATATGCAAGCCACATACTGTGTTCAAAGACAACTACTGAGAATTAGACTGATGTTTACAGCTGCTACCATGTTCCGCTTTACATATCATAAGCCTCTTGTAGCAATGTTATATGCAACAATATTGATCAAAGCGGAATATGTAACATTTTTAGATATTTTTCTCCACTGGAGGGGAGCAAACAATATGCAGGATCATGGTGAAATGTGTTGTTGTAAATTTAATACTACTTGACTGTTGCTGCTTTGCATTCTGATGTCAGTGTTAGCCATAAGAGACACTACGGGGACCCCTGCAGATTAAGCCAGATTTTAATCGAGATGGGATGAGCCCAGCTGTTTGAAGTCAGATGGAGAATCCGCTGTCATGCAGTGCCAGATCTTCTCTGCTGACCATTTCTGATCAAACAGTGGTTTAAAGGCCTACATTGGTGGTTTGACTCCATTAAATGCAAAGTGTGCCTATACAGTACAGTTTACATCACTGGCAACTCCAAAGCAATCTATGATGTCTTCTCCATCCAATAATATGATTTTAATAGAAAACCAAATACATTTTTATGATTGTCATTGGATTCTGTAAAAATTAAACAGTCCTAAAAAGTGTAGCTTCAGTTTCCCTTTTTCTCCTTTTTTTGTTAACTCCATTTCACACCTCAACAGACTTGACCATTTATACAATAAACAATCTGAACACATCTTTACAACGGAACAGCTTCAACACCTCCTTTTCTTTCTTTCACTCTTTTAAACCTCTCCCCCACTTATTCCTCCGACATTGTCTATAGTCTTGTCTCTCCCCAGTGAGTGTATCTCACTCACTGACTAGAGTGGCAATGATTGGCCGAGTAGCATCACATGACAAGTGCCGTAAAGGCTAGAAAAGCTGTGCCACTTCAAAACTGAATAATTCTCAATCATTTATTAGATTATAGGTCCACATATGACAGCATCTGGGTCTGGATCCAGACGGTGGGCCGCCTATTGGTGACCTCTGAGCTCCTCCATCAAAGATTCAAACATGGTCTTTGTGATGCCTTCAAACTATATAAAATTTTACTCTCACTTTGTGTAGTTGCGAAAAATATCAGTCATACTTGGTGTGTCTTACAGCAGCGTTATGGCTGTTGTGCACTGAGGCATGAATCAAAATCATTTTGGATTTAGATTGTCCAAATCCATTGTATTGTATATGAATGTATAATTCTTGATTCATTGCAACCATGCAATCTATTTTTCGCTTGAACAGTTTAAAGCTTCGCTGACAAAAAAAAAAAAAAAAGACAAAAAAAAAATTCCCACATACACAACACTGCAACTTTGTTGGAAAGTCAATAATCCTCTGTAGAGCAGTAATTCATTGTTATATTCAGCGACTGGTTTATTTTTAAGTGTGGCTACTTTTAATTAGAGTCCAGTAATTTATAAGCATGTGTTGCAAAATGATGTGTATGTAAATGAGTGCCAGGCCTCCCGCCATGGCCCTGATGTAAATTCCATGACTTTCCAGAACAAAACTGGAGCACTTCCATGACCTAGAAATTTGTATTCCTTTCTAATTTGTTAATGTTGTTCTTCAGCCCAGGAGAACTTAAAAAAAAAAAAAAGAAAAAAAAAAAAAGGGGGTAACTGGCTTCCATTTTGCTGTTGGGCTTGGTTGTTGAGAAAAATCACACAACAAACATAACTGAATACAACAGATGTCTGATACCAAGTGTAAAACGGCCCACGCTCAGTCTGGGAAACACCTGTCAAAATGTGGCGATACTGGAGAAAAATCAGATGCAGAGGGGATCCTTGATTTGGAATGCATTAAGAAGCCCCCCCCCCCCCTCCATCAAGCTCTCACAGGCTCCAGCAGCCATATGTCAGGGTCAAGAACAGAGACGAAGAGAGAAAGAAACTTTAGAATATTTCTCCGATGCCTTTTGAAGACTTTTACATCTAAGAACTGATGTATTGTAACAGTTTAGACAAAGGGAAACTTCATAAATCAGTTTCTCATGTCTTTTTTCCCCAGCACATTAGACTTGACTTTTATACATGATTATGTTTCCATTGTTAAGAAAACACTGCTCCTTTCATCCTCTTAATGGTTTTCTTCTGCTGAACGGATGCCATTTAAATATTTGCACTATCATTCTGACAGGCAGTTGTCCCTAATCGTTCTTTTATTGAAGGAAACAAAACTTGAGAGTGTGATTGGGCTTTGAAGAGTATCCCTGATAATGTGGCACAATAACTTGAAGAAAACAGCTTAATGCAAACTTTAAACCTGCTTTTTCTGTTCAAATCAGAGGTCTTTGTATACTTCTCATAAATGCAATTAGGAAGATTTTTTTTCCCCACTCATATCACACAGGAGGGTTATTGGGTGATAATTTCTGCCTGACATTGTTCACAGGAATGTAAGTTAAATTAAAAAGTAACAAAGCAAAAGGGCAAAACTTCCTTGGTAGGAAAAGAAGCAGCTGACACCAGTAAAAAGCAAGACAGTAATTTCCCATTTCTGTGATGCTAAGCACCTCTGCCAGGAGGCTTACTGTCAACATCTTCTCACACCAATGAGAAGTAGAGCAACTGAACATGTTAATTATTTATCGAGCGGCAACTGCAGACTTAGAAAATGTAACAGCAAGAAAATTATCTTGCACTTTAGAAAAAGAGCAAATGGATTTGTTTGGCTGAGCAAATTAAACTTCTGATCTGGCTGCTGATAATCTCTCTATCTAAAAAAAAAAAAAAAACAGAACACATGGTTGTTTACTTCAGTTGGTCAGGTAATTAAGGCTATAATAGGGGGAACAGGAAATGAATAATTAACACTAATTGTCAAGAGGCAAGCAACAGCACAAGGCTTCAACCTCATTTGCAAACAGGAAATAAAGAATCACACGTGTCAACTGTTTTACTTACCTGTGAGGCTTTTCCTGAGCTGCCTGCAGCAAAGGTGATGTGAACTGTAGGAATGGAAAGAGAAAAAAAATATATTTTAGTGAATGATACAAACAGAGAGGAATCTTTTCGAGCCAAACAACTCTTTTTTTCTTCAAGCTGCGTCACCTCGCTAACTGAAGAGCTGCCGTACAAAGGCACAGCTAAAAGAAAGCGACATGATTCAAGTTCTTATTTGTGAAAAATTATGAAAAATATTTAAAAAAGGTAATGATTCCATGATTTCTTTGTGCTGAGTCTTGGTCGGATCCGTGAGAGCGCAGTGTACCATTCATCTATCCGGGTTTGTAATTAGAGCACAGAGAGCTTCTATCCAATTACATTGCCATTGATTGTGGGACAAGAAAATCTTTGCAGAAAGATTCCCAGGATTTCAAATCAATACACCCAAAACAGCAGTGTCACTGAGAATGAATTTATACACCGGTTTATATTAAATCAGGCTCCCTGCCCTCCAACACCAGTCAGCCTTAAATCTGACTTTAATTAGGTGATAGAGGCGAGAGAGAGTTAAATTTCCTCCCCTGGCTCGCTGCAGCAGCCATTAGAGGGCAACTGAGAGTGTTGATTAAAACCTAAAAGCAGCAGATATGTTTTCTAGGAACAAGCCAGCTGAAATTCCTGCAATGAATAAATATCCAATATACAAAAGAAGCGCACAAAAACCCCAATACAAATGTACATATTTCATAAGATAGATACAATCTCTGTCACTTTACTCTTATGACACAATCTGCAGTCATATGGTCAGATATTAATTCCATCCATTGCAAGGGAACCCTCTTCTTAAATTATTCAAAGAGCTAAGTTAACTTCAAAACGCGCGCGTGTGTGTGTGTGTGTGTGTGTGTGTGTGTGTGTGTGTGTGTGTGTGTGTGTGTGTGTGTGTGTGTGTAAAGCCTGGAGTAAAGCCACCAGTGCAGTACCAATGAACAATGTAATGAACCTAATTATTTTAGTCATGAAAGCAGCAGAAAACAACAATGGATGCGAGGCAGTTTTCAAACAGTCCAAATTTGCCAGGCAAGGCGATGAAATATCACTTTGCCCTGTTCCTCACAAAAAAGAGGGCGTCTTAAAGAAGAGCTGAAAATACCCACATTAAATATAGAGATTACACCTCAGGTCTTTACCTATTTTCACTGAATGACACAGGAAATTTCAAAAGGGAGAAGGTCTGATTTTCATACACAATTTTTTATGTTGCCCTGCTTCAAAAACTTCTTTTGTTTGTTGCTGCAAGAGGACATGGTTCACTGCAGTTTACAGTTAATAGAGTGTTTTTGTGATGAGGACAGCTCTGAATATGCCTCCAATAAGAGAAAGTAATGATAGAAATGGGGAGGAAACACAAAAGAGCTGCTGCTGATCCTTCAGACTCAAAGCCAGTCCTCTGAAATAATAAAAAATAAACAGAGAAACAACACAGCGGTTCTGCAACAAGCAGAGGCTTATTCATCAGTTTTTTCAGCCGAGATTTATGCATTTTTTCTATCAGTTTTCAGCACTTTAAAATAACAAACACAATATTATTAGTATTAAGAGTGATTTTGTTCTAAAAAAGCTCAGAATAACGCGACAACTGAACAAATTCTATCTCCAGATCAAGGTCATGTGATATGGTTGAAAGCTCCAGAAAACACAAGTAAGTGGACCTTAAGTGGTAAGTGCTAAGTACAGTTTTTTTTTTTTTCCATTACTGTATCTCCAAGGTTAAGAATGAACTGCTTTCCTCTCACAGAACATATGGCTCTGAAAGAAACAGAAAAGGCACTACAGACACTAAATTGTACAATGAGGGGAAAATAAAGGCAATTCATAATAATAGACATTGCACTGCCTCCTTTGTTTTAAATCTGTGACAAAACGCCTGCCAATACAAATTATTAACTGATCATCAATCTAATGTCCATGGATCCTGATGGCCGTGTAAAGTTCACATTCATAAAATCTGATCCAGTAAATAATGTCATCTGGCATCCCAGTTTTTCTGTCAGTATTAAAAATGCAACATTTGGCATGAAACGAGCTTCCTACAGGAATACATTCAAGTTCACAATACATTCTGCTACATCTGCTCAAACCTCCCATCTTTTCATGGCTCACCCTGGAGAGGGAGAGGCAGAGACATGTGGAGGGGTGGGGGGGTGGTTGTTGGGGGGTGGGGGGTGTAACTCTACAGAATGTCAGGAGTGCTGATGGGAGCACCTCCATTGCATCGTCTCCTCAACCTGCATAATCAAGTCTGTTGTTTCCAACCATGTTTTCAATTGAGCCGCACCGAGGGGAACTTGCTCGCTTTGATTTTAGGAAGTCTGGAAATCACTCTACATGATGAAAGCTCTGAATGGTTTAGCTGAATGCTTTTCAACAAGCTTCTCAATTTACATTGTCACTGTAATAAAACCAGATGTCCGACGCAATTAGCAGAGAAACACTGCGCTCCTAACAGTGGGAGGGAATCTAGTTGGTATGGGTGTATGCTATCAGAATTTAAAGAACCTTACAACAAAGAAACATGTATATGTATAGTGCTTTCTACAAATTACAATTGTTCTTCCCTCTACTTGTCTAGAGCATAAAAATGGATGATTGATGGATTCAAAGTGATTTAGCAATGATTTGCTTGTTGGCGACTGACTTAGCTTTCCAGTTCATACAGGATTTAATGGGTACAGAGGGCATAGAAAATAAAATGGAGACACCACATCAAAGTACTTTGAAGTAACTTAATCACATTAACAACGGCAGCTATGCAGGTGTATTATATTAACTTGAATGCTAATTCGCAGTCAGTGTGAGCTTCAGAAGAGCTCTGATAATCACCACGTTCACACACAATCCAAATGATCCAAATGGTGAAGAGGACAAACTACACCTCCACTGGTCTGGAAAAACAAAGTTATTTAATGCGGCAAAGTCAATAAAATCTGAAATGATGTGAGCTTCACAGTGCTGATAGTTATGGCAGGGCTGCCATCCAGAAACCACTTCTGAGACAGTGCACAAACATCCCCAAGCTGAGGGCCATTAAACCTGGATCCAGCTCTTACCAACCCGCTTCTAAAACCACGACAGCAGCTCCCGGCTCTCCAGTTCACACGAGAACACTAACCTGCATGGCACCAAACGGCGTGGAGTGGCTCGTGAGACATTCACCAAGCCAAAGAGACGCATTGGCAAATCAAACCAGATTTAAAATGTGAGTGAATACTCAGCTGAATTTCCACAGGTGTGATTCGCATGTTGCTCTGTTTCTGCAATGAAGGTGTGTACAAAGTTCATTTTCATCTTGCTTTACTCATGCAAATTTGATGAATGCAGGGTGTGTTGCTGTCCGCATTCACCATAGCATGCACCAAGTACCGGCTGTACAGAGGTTAGCTAACTGGCGGCGCATGGATTTTTCTGCACTTCATGATTTATGTTCAATGGCGATGTTCAGGTGCCAATGAAGGAAGGAGTTTGCAGTTATTACAGTGTGAAAAAAAACAAGGAAAAATAAAAACCAAGGCACTCCATCCTCAGATGAAATAATATTATAAATTCATTCCTCGAGCATATAGGCAAACAAACTGTCGGATCAGCCGGAGTCATGCAGCGCTTCCTTCTTCCTTTGTAAACAGCGTGGTGTGGAGGTCAGGATGGTGAATGGGTGAGGTGTGGTAAGTATGACTTCTATGCAGGAGATGGGTATTTGCTACCAGGCACAAATGTTCAATTAACTTTTGGCTTTTTAATTTAACCATGTCGATGGTCTTCCTCTGACCTTAACAATACCTACTTACCAAGAATTTTCAAAATGTTTGCAATAGATGAAACAACACATTGTCACTGAACCTGTTCTCAGGCTTTGCAGAATTGTGCTATGGATGATCTTGTCCGGCGAGAGGGTTCGTGCCTGTGAAAATGTGACGGCTCAGACTAGGACTCATCACAAAAACTTATCGAGGACTCCAATTCCTTGTGTTATGACCCCGCTCAGATTTATTCTTGTCTCTGTGTATTCAAAAAAATTGAAGTCATACAGCTCTGTGAGAAACCATCTGATCTCATGCAGGTATTGAGGTCAGGACACTTGACCTCAATACCCATTACCTAGAACAAGAACAAGGTTTTGCCTCTTTTCAGTGTGTGTAATTATTCTCCTTTTAAATTTTGCTTTGTGTTCACTCTGATCACATTTAAAGAAGTGGATAACTTGATCAAGGTTCACTGAGCTTTGGATTCCACTCTGTGGTCCCTAGGAATCAAAAATGAGTTAATACAGCATTAAGACATTTGTTATTGTTGGTGGAAAATCTGTACAGTTAATTACAAGATGCCAGTGTTTCTCTCATGGAAAAAAAAAAATCTAACACAGGCAGCAAATGCTATTATAATAAAAGTGGCTCCTCAAAGGACTGGCACAGATGGCACACAGTTTGTGCTGCACATGCAGTTGTAATAATGCACCTGATTTGTGTTTTTGAAAACTGCTCTGCAAACTGTTAGGCATGCAGGGAGCACAGGCTTCATCTGGCATTGTGTCATATTAAATTTAAACTTTTTATTCCCACTCAAGCACTGCCAGCAGCCGTCTAGAACTCACACTGGCAACTCCTAAGAGCTTATGGCTGGAGCTCTCTCTTGTTACCAACTTTTTATCTAAATACAGTTAGTACCCACTTTATTAGGATGCTTTAGTGTGCAGCTTCCTCAGATGAATTGAAAGATGCATTTTAAATAAAATATGAAGTGATAGTTTAATATGGCCATCATTTAGGGAAAAATGACTGTGCTAAACAAACATGTTGTATGATGTCTGCAATACCATAAGTTATTGATTAACTGATCTACAATATATCTCAAGTACACATAAAAATTGGCTTCCTCTCTAATTCGACACATTGACAACAGTGGCCACACTGCAAACAGCAACTTCCGAACAACTACCATCTGTGACTGCATAGGTTTGTAATTTCTGTAGTTTTATAGGTTCAGGCTCTGTTGACAAAATACTGTGTTTACAGGGAAAGGCAAAACATTATTTTGTTTTTATTGTTCCCTTTGGTTAGTACCATGCACAGTTACACCAAAAGGATAAGATCCTATATATTTCATTTTATAATCACACTATCAATTTTATAATATCAACACATATTGTGTTACATTTTTCATGGGAAATCAGTTGGGAATTGTTATTGGATAAAATAACTTGTATGTAAGCAGGATTACGCAAAAAGTACCAAACCAATTTGCACCAAACTTGGTGGACGGGTGGGACCAGAGATGA